GCGGGAGGGAGAGGGGAGGAAAGCACAGGACTGCCGGGTGTCAGGGCGGGCTCCGGGGCTGCGTGGTGGGCTCGCTGCCGCCACGCCCCTGGCCCCCGCTGGCCCCACCAAAGCAGACCGCGCGCGTGGGGTTCCCGCAGCGCAGCTTTTCTTCTGCCTTTGCCCAAATCTCCCTGACGATGCTCCAGTCCCCGGCCTGGCCAGCAGGCGGCGGCCGCGGGGCAGTGAGCCAAAGGCCGGGTAGCCTGAGTTGGGGCAGGCTTCTCCCTAGCACCTCTCTCCACGCCCCCTTCTCTTACCCAAACTCCGAGAGACCCCAAGGCTGCACTCTGCCCCACCAAGCTCCCACCTGGAAGTGCTCCGCGGATGGGGAAGCCCATTTTCTAGATAAGCCCACTGAGGCTCAAAGGGCCGCGCCGACTTGATCCTGCGCCCTCACCCTTTAGGAGCGGCTCAGCCCCAGCCCCACCCCTTCCAAGTTGCCTCCGGGCCCTCACCTGCCCAGCCCCACCCAGACTCCTCGCTCACTGCCTGTCTACCCCATCAGCGCACCCCCGGACGCTATGGCCCACTCCTCCGGCCGGCCCTGCGTGTAGGATGGTAGCACACAACCAGGTGGCAGCCGACAATGCAATCTCCACGACAGCAGAGCCCCGACGGCGGCCAGAACCTTCTTCATCCTCCTCCTCCTCCTCTTCGCCCGCGGCACAGGCTCGCCCGCGGCCCTGCCCGGCGGCCCCGACTCCGGCCCCGGCCCCGGGTGACACGCACTTCCGCACGTTCCGCTCGCACGCGGATTATCGGCGCATCACTCGGGCCAGCGCGCTTCTCGACGCCTGTGGCTTCTACTGGGGGCCCCTAAGCGTGCACGGGGCGCACGAGCGGCTGCGCGCCGAGCCCGTGGGCACCTTCCTGGTGCGGGACAGCCGCCAGCGGAACTGCTTCTTCGCCCTCAGCGTGAAGATGGCCTCAGGCCCCACGAGCATCCGCGTGCACTTCCAGGCCGGCCGCTTCCACCTGGACGGCAGCCGCGAGAGCTTCGATTGCCTCTTCGAGCTGCTGGAGCACTACGTGGCGGCGCCGCGCCGCATGCTGGGGGCCCCGCTGCGCCAACGCCGCGTGAGGCCGCTGCAGGAGCTGTGCCGCCAGCGCATCGTGGCCACCGTGGGCCGCGAGAACCTGGCGCGCATTCCTCTCAACCCCGTCCTCCGTGACTACTTGAGCTCCTTCCCCTTCCAGATCTGACCGGCCGCGCCCGCCGCGCACGCAGCATTAACTGGGGCGCCTTCTTATTTTCTATTATTAATTATTATTTCTCTGGAACCACGTGGGTGCCCTCCCCACCTGGGTTGGAGGGAGCTGGTGTAGGGGGCGAGACGCCTCCTGCTCTGGGCTGGAGACAGGGCTGCAGACCCCTCCCCACCTCTTGTGGGGATGCCCCCTCCTGGTGCTCCCTCTGGGTTTCCCTGGTTGTCGTAGCAGCTTAACTTAACTGTGTCTGGGGCCAGGACCTGAACTCGTACCTCCTACCTCTTCATGTTTACATATACCCAGTATCTTTGCACAAACCAGGGGTTGGGGGAGGGTCTCTGGCTTTATTTTTCTGCTGTGCAGAATCCTATTTTATATTTTTTACCACCAGTTTAGGTAATAAACTTTATTATAAAAGTTTTTTTTTAAGAAAAGGTTTCTAGAGAGTGTGCTTTGGTCAAAGGTTTTCCATGGTTCTGAGTGTGTCCAGGGTCCTAAGACTGATACGTTTGGCTGAAGGTGATGTGTGGCCCATGTTCTGTGGATGGGAACCTGAATGGCTCCACTCACAGTTCTTAGGGAGAGAGGAACCGTCAGTCTAGTTTTGGTATGGTGTGTTTGGTAAAATGGCAGCTCATATTTGAGCACTTAATGTGTGCCTGGCCCTATTCTGTGCTTAAATTTACTTAATCTATAAAGACAACCCTATGAAGCAAGGCTCTTATCCCCACTTTACAGAAGAGAAAACTGAGGCAGGGTAAATTTGCCTGTGGTCATTCCTGTGTCAGAGAAGACACTTGGGCCTTTTTGGCTGTCTTCCCAGAAATCTGTTTGAAATGGATGACAGAGAGGAAACTTCTTTCATTCTATGACCACAACTTCTTCCAGGAAGAGAGTGGGGGTGGGGGCTTGATGAGTTTTTGGAAGGAGGAGTGGCACATTCTGAAACTCAGCATCTAGGGAGGCATATTTTAGATGGGATGGGAATATAGGGTTGGGTCTGACTTCTTCCTCCCCTGTTCTGTCTCATGGACTTTCTGGTGAACCCACAACTTGGAGACAGACGCTTTGTGGTCTGTGGTGGCAGGAGGGCCCTGCTGACAGCTTTGGGCAATTCCCTTTGCCTCTCGGGGCCTCAGTGGCTACCTCTAAAATGGGCTTGCTGGGAGAGGTGCTTTGCTGTAACCCTCAGTAGTAAGCACTGATACATAGTGGATAGAGGAGGTGATGTTTTCAGGAGCCAGCATCACCAGAGAATGCCAGAGTTTTATGGCTACTCCTATATCAGTGGCCAGCCTGCTGGCTATTCTGGGCTGTGTTGCTGCACCTGGTGAAACTGAGTCATTTTCAGGTTTAGGGTTAAGCAACCACGCAGACACATCACACTTCTTTTTAGAAGTTAGGATGGCCCTCTGCAGCTTTGGACATGCTTATAATGGAGTGTCCTAATTTTTAATAATACCTTTCAGACTTGAAAGTGCCGTATAAAATTAACTTGATAGTCAGAGAGCTGGAGAGGCCCAGGCTTGTCTTGGGGATTAAATTGGTTCTAGGTCTCAAGGTAAGGGATGGCCAGGAGAGATTTAGGATCTCAGAGAGCTTTGGCAATTTCATCCTTAAATGAAGTGGGGTGGGAGGGAAGGAGGTGACATCTTGTCTCTGTGCCTCCAAGGAATCACTGGTTTTTCTTTTGCAACCATCTCCCTGCCCTTTGTTCTCTGCTGTGTGGATCAGATCCTGTTCTTATTCTGACTTTCCTGTCTCCTACCCAGCTTGGGCAGTGCCGGCAGAAATCCAAGAAGGAGTGCTTGAGCATACCACAGACACTTTGTGAGTGCTTACTGTATGCTGGGCCTGTGCTACCTTGTTTAATCCTCACAACCAGCCTGAGTTAAAAAACCTCTCCATTTTACAGATGGGAAAACTGAGGCTCAGAGAGGCAAAGTAGGGCATACAGCAAGTGGTGGAGCCGGAGTTTCAAACTTGGACAGTACTGCTTCAGAGGCTGGGTACCACTGGGCAACTCAAGAGGGCATAATATTTGAATAATAATAACAGCAGCAGCCGCAAACATTTATATATCGCGTTACTGTACAGACACCGTTCCAAGTGCCTAGATACCTATATTTAAACACCTAACCTTCACCCTAGCCTTAGGATTAGGTCCTACTAACACCCCCATTTTGCAGATGAGGAAACAGGTCCTCATCTAAACAGGGACGAATTAGCAGTTAGTTTATAGTATTTTCAGGGTTTTTTCCTCCTTTCAAAAGACGCTCAAAAGTCACATCTTCATTACACAAATTCATACACAAACCCCTTCCCCTTAGCAAAATAGCTAAGAATAAAGGCTCCTCTAATCACTCCCCAGTGCTGGCCCCTTCTCTTTGTGAGTCATTTAAAAAGAAATCTATACTAACGCACATACAGTGACCTAAAAGCCCCCCGGGAGCTGCACTCCAGGTCCTGTGTGACAGATCTTAGGCACACACCAGTGCAGACACACTGGGGTGGGGGTGGGGGGAGCAGTATGCACCGTGTGGGTTCCCTGAGATACAGATTCTCTCAAACCTCAGCTTCATGATTCAGCAGCGCTGACGTCAATTTACAAGAATGAAAAGTGAGAGGAGGGTTGTGTGTGTGTGTGTGTGTGTGTGTGTGTGTGTGTGTGTGAGAGACTGAGTTGGGGGCCCAGGTGCCCCTGAGGTATCCTCTCCACTGACAGCGGGTGAGCTGGGCAGTGGGGAGTAGGGCATGCAGAATGGGAAAGGGGCAGCTCTTCTGAACAATGGGGACTGCATGCAGGTGCAAGGACAGCCTCTGACCAGCATCAGAGCCGTTCCTGAGCTGGGACTCTGCACCCTGCTTTAGAGATCAGGAAATGGAGGCACAGAGACGTGCAGTCACTTACTCACAGCTCAAAAATGGTAGCCAAGACTTACACCAATTGGTTTTTTAAAGAGTGGAGGCGGGAAGAGGGCGAAATCCCGTGAAGATGCACAGTCCCAGGCCTCAGCTCAGCCTGTGTGATCCTTCCAGTTTAATGAGTGGAACTGGTATTGTCCCACAGCCAGGAAGTACAGAGCTGAGCCTATTCCTGAGGTGATGCACATAAAGCACTTAGCACAGAGCCTGGCAATATATCTCTGAATGATGTGGTGCTCAATAAATGGTAATGAGGTTCATATAACAAACATTCACTGAGCACCTACTATATTCCAGGCATTACTCTAAGTGCAAAGGATACAGGAATGGACAAAATCGAGGGAGTCTGGTCCCTGCTCGCATGGAGTTCACATTCAGGGCCCAAGGCAGTAAATAAATAACTTAAGTCTGAAACTAAAGGAACAAGAACATTCCAAGTAATGACAGTACTCAGATGAAAACTCAACAAGGTGGCTGGACAGTGGGTGGGACTATTGTCAGGAAAGCTCCTCTAAGGTGACACTGAAATTGTGCCTGGAATGACAGGATGGAACCAGCCTGGGAGGTGGGCATTCCAGGCAGAGGGAACAGCAAGTGCAAAGGTCAACAGCGGGGAATGAGGTCAGCCCAAACTGGAGGGGACTGAGTGGAGGCAAGTGGCAGGAGATGAAATGGAATGGGTGGGCTGTGGGCCAGAGCCCTACAGAGCCCTGTAGGCTGTGAAGAAGAATGTGGATTTGCAGTGTTTGGAGCCTGGGCGTGACCTGATCTAATCTGTAGGACCAGATCTTCTGACTGCTAGGTACTGACTAAGGCAGGTAGGCCTGGTGAGATGGCCTTAGGCTTCTTGCCTTATGTGTGTATTTTGGGATGGAAGGGGTGGTTCACTCTTGGCCAGACCCCTCAGCTCCAGCCAATCAGGCCAACAGCGAGGCAGGGCCAGCCACAGGACCTGCCTGGCCCAATGCTGGGACCAAATGTGAGGCAGGCCTGGAGTGGCCAGCCCTGGGGCAGGAAACCACAACTATGACCAGACCCAAAGCTCTGGTCTCAACAGAGCCCCAGGGCATGGCCCCCCAGACTCCAGTGAAAGGCTTCTTGGAGCAGTGGTCACCTGTGCAGGGCAGAGCTGGCCTCAACTTTGGGGAAGGATGCACAGGACCTGAATGGAGGTAGACTGGACCTGACACATGGTGGGTGTGACCTGCACCACCTGGAGGCTTGCTCTGCATCCGCCTCACTTGGGCAGCCCCCTCACCACCATCATCCACAGACTTCCCAGAGCTGGAGGCTTCCAAGGAATAATATGGACCTGGCCTAACTGAGGGGAAGGTGTCTCAAGATCCCTCAGAGAGGGGAGTGCAGTCTTCAACAAAGCAAATTCACACAGCGACAATGGTGCCCAGTGTGGGCATTCAACTGCCCCTCCCACCTGGTCCTGGACCTGGGACCTGACACACAGCCTTCAGAAGATTTGGGGTTCCATGCTCAACACCCAATGTTTGGCCCCAATACAACCCCCTACCTTCCCCACCACACACACACCCCGTGGGAGGTCCGGCATCGCCAAGCCCCAGTCCTCCAATGGCTCTCGGCCACACTCAGGAGAAGGCTCACCTCCCACAAGGACCCACGAGGCCGCACGGGGCCCCTGGCCACGCTCCTGGCCTCAGCACTCACCGTACTCCCTCCTGCCCCTGGGGTTTTGCACATGCTGTTCCCGCGCCTCATGCAGTTTCAAGGTGAAGGGCTTACACAAGTACAACTGCCCTTGCTCTGGAGCGCCTCACCGCTCCTCGCGGCTGCTGGGCGCCCAGGCCGCCACGTGCCGCCACGTTCCGCGCGCGCTAATGACGTCACCACCCCGCCCTCTCCTGCTGCTCGGCAATGCTCGGCTCCGTTCGGCCCGTGCTCGGCTCCCTCCCTCGGCCTTGCTGAGCCACTGAGGGCTGCCTGGCCCCTCTGGCCTCCGCGTGGTTCTAAGCCGCCTCGTGCGTGCTGCCAGCTTGGAGGCTCCATCTTCCAAACCCCTCCATCCTGGCGCAGAGAGCGCACATCCTAAGGACATGTCAGGTCAAAACCATAATAGCTGGCTCTCTCCACCCCTCCAGTCTTGAGAGACCAAAAAGCGCTTCCACCGCATCCCAGTCCACACAGACCCCTGCTGCCCCAACTCACACAGCCCTTAGGTCCTGAATCCTATTTTCCTCACCTGGAAATCAGATTAACCACTGTACTCACCCCATGGACAAAATTAAGTAAGAGAGTGTCTGTACAGTGCTTAATACATGATAGGTATCCAGTAATTGGGACTGGCCTCTGCTCCTTGATTTTTCCATTGATGCTGTTTTAAAATAATGCCATTTACTGAGCATCTAAAGTGAGCTAATACTTCACCCAGGTTGCATCGTGAGGAGATGGGCTCAGAAAGGTGAAGGAATTGCCACCACAATGTGTAAATGGCAAAGCCAGACCTAGAATCCAGGTGTTTAAGCCCAAGGT